TTTTCACAAAGACGGAGGAACCAGGTGGGGTATTGCCACAACAAATTCAAGTGAGAGTATCAACAACGTATACAAGGAAGTTCGTGTAGAAAACGAACCAATGGTTCGTCAATCGACTCCATTGGGCTGCAATGCGGGAGGCACTGGTAAGGTGCACTCCGATAAAGCCACAAAAATTATGGAAAATCCACCTTATTGTACAATTTGGACGCGGTAGGAAGAGTTTGTACTTGTGCACGTTTTGTCATTATGACACAATTAAGTGGTTTATGGGTTTATATGACTAAACCAATCAATGAATCACATGTCTATCAACGTTACAAGACATTTGGAGTGCAAATCCACCTTATTGTACAATTTGGACTCGGTACTAAGAGTTTGTACTTGTGCACGTTTTGTCATTATGACACAATTAAGCGGTTTATGTGTTATATGACTAAAACAATCAATGAATCACATGTCTATCAACCTTACAAGAAATTTAGAGTGCAAATCCACCTTATTGTACAATTTGGACTCGGTAGGAAGAGTTTGTACTTGTGCACGTTTTGTCACTATGACACAATTAAGCGTTTTATGTGTTTATATGACTAAACCAATCAATGAATCACATGTTTATCAACGTTACAAGACATTTGGAGTGCAAATCCACCTTATTGTACAATTTGGACTCGTTACTAAGAGTTTGTACTTGTCCACGTTTTGTCATTATGACACAATTAAGCGGTTTATGTGTTATATGACTAAACCAATCAATGAATCACATTTCTAATAACCTTACAAGAAATTTAGAGTGCAAATCCACCTTATTGTACAATTTGGACTCGGTAGGAAGAGTTTGTACTTGTGCACGTTTTGTCATTATGACACAATTAAGCGGTTTATGTGTTTATATGACTAAACCAATCAATGAATCACATGTCTATCAACGTCACAAGACATTTGGAGTGCAAATCCACCTTATTGTACAATTTGGACTCGGTACTAAGAGTTTGTACTTCTGCACGTTTTGTCATATGAGAGGTTTCCATGGTAGGCTACAGCTGATGAGTATACAGAAAGAAGCGAAAGTTAAGTCTTTAACCGTATTGATTGTTTTCAACAATTTAAAGCAATACAAGTACACTCATTAGACTTAGAGGTGGCAATTGGATCGGATTCGTGGATTCGTGGATTGGATTGGTGGATACATGGATCAAATGGATTGGATCCAAAGGATTGGTGGATTGATGGATTGGTGGATTGATCCATGAATCCAAATGACATCCAAGGCTTGGACCAAAATGTAAATTTTCAAAAGTTTTGGTACCAAAATGTCATAACAAAAATTTTTAAGTACCAAAATGTAATTTTCCAATGATATTTTTCGTATAAAAAAATAAATTTTAGGTACCAAAATGTAAAACATAAAAAGTATAGGTACCAAATCATAATTTGCCATTTGGATCCATGGATTGATCCATGAATTCACCAATCCAATTGGATTTGGATCAAATGGATTGGATTTAAATGGATTGGATTAGGTGGATAATTTGGTGGATGGATTGGATTGGATTCATGGATTTGGATCCTAATTGCCACCTCTAATTAGACTATTAGGAGAGGTATACATCTTCTAAGAAACACAGCCTTTTTGACACAAAAAGGGGGATCCGATGATCACTTAATACCCGTTTTCCCAGGTCATGGGAGGATCATGTGATCTCTTAAAACCCAATTTCCTTAAACATGCATCTCTTTATAAAGAGTCTAAATAAATGGCACATTTTATCATTCTAAACAATTGAAAACGATCAATACGATTAACAATTAACAAATTTATTTTATAATCCACTTGAACGATGATTAACAAATAATCAACAATTAACAAATTTATATTACGTTAACAAAATAAAAAATGACAAATGATAATAAATTATATGTACCTTGTGATCGTTCCAAACATCCATTGAACGATGATTAGCTTGGTCGTATAACACAGATGGATCAATCGGTCCTTGATCAATATAATATATTCCATTGTATATATCCACGTCCTCCACAACATACGATAACATCAAATTAACATAAATTAATTAGTATACATATTAAATAAAATAATTATAATAACAACAAAATTTAGGTAAGATGAGTACGTACCGCTTGATAGTCATCATAATTAATACCCTCTTCTTCGAAAAAATCCGCCATTTTTTTCAGGAAGCCGGGCAGGTATTCGACAGGTTTTGAAGGAAAAACCAAAGAAAAGTTTTTTATGGCAGTTGGGACTTAGCCGCAACCAATAGACCACTATTTCTAGGTTTTTGGGTGGAGAGGGGGATGGGTAGAGTGACAAACTTAGAGAGAGAGAGAGAGAGAGAGAGGATTGGTTTTGGTGTGAAGAAAATGAAAGGAGGGGGTATTTATAGGGTCTGAACCGCCTTGGGGGCAGTTTGGTAATTTTCCCCCAAGGAAACCGCTCCCCCCGCCCACAGTTTCCCTTCGCGCAGCGTAAACCGCGCCATCAGGCTAGGGTTACTGCAACCAGATGCGGATCGCTCCCCTGGCGAGTGGTTGGCCATCAGGTCCCCCCTTTTTCAATCAAACGGTTGCATAGGCCGCCACGTGGAGGAACGGTTTTCAGGCTGCCCTAGCGGGAACCGCTCCTTCTGCGCGCGGTTTGAAGGAGAATCTCCCTTTAGGGATGCGATTTTCGGTTGATGGTGGTATTTTTGTAAATTTTTGGGTTAGGGTAGTTGTTTTGTAATTATTTTCTAAATGATGGTACTTTTGAAATTTTTGCGGAAGTCTTGGAGTATCGACGAGCGAAGTATAGGAATGACACTAAGATGGAATGCTTAGTTGATTGGAAGTACCTGCCTTCGGAAGATGCCATATGGGAAGAAGTGGAAGAGCTCATTAAATGATTCCCTCACCTAAATCTTGTGGACAAGGTTGATGTTCTAGGGGGGAGAATGTAACGAATGATACGGAGGATGCTAGCCAATCACTTTCAGGGCCCAGATGGTCGATCCGGAAACCCAACCCAAATCCCAGGTTTTTTTTTATACCAATGCATTCAATTAATTTACCACCAAAAGGGTTTGTAAGGTAATCCTCTCTAATGGGAGGTACAAGAAACACTAGTGGACTATCAAGCCACACCTCCTCCTCCTCTCCCCACCTACACTCAGTTTGGTTATCAGATGGGCCGTTTTATTCTTTTTCCCACTCACAAACTTCCATATGATTTTCTCAAATTCTTGGGCTCGATCGCCTTCACCTCCTCCACCTCTGGTTCCCACTGAACCCATGAACGTCTTATTGTTGCAAACAGGCGCCTCCCATCCTTGTCCCGACACACTGCACCCCATCCCATTCCTCAATCTGACATACTAGCAGGATCAACATTAATTTTTAGCGGAGCTAATTCCGGTGGCCGACATCAGTTATCCGCCCTTGTCTGTGGATCCTTGCAGACTTGATTCCCCAGGTAATCATTCAGCCAATCCCAAGCTCTATGCATGATTTCTCATTCTTCCAACTTCCTTGTGTCCTTTTTAGAATTACAATCCGGGATTGCAGGAAAAGGACTTCCATTGTTATGTTTATTCCACAGTTGACTATTTTGTTGATCCCAGATGTACTAGAGCGACACCAGAAATGAGCCTATTGTCTCCTTGGACTCCGTCTCCTGAATCTCACAGTACCATTCTTTGGAGGTAAGATTCTCTCCTCGCTCAAATAGCATTGTCATCGGACTATTTCTCCAAACCCGTCAAACCCAGCCACACTCCTTAAGAATATATTCTTGCATTTCTCTTAGATCACAGAAAAGGCATCCCTCGGTTCCCTTTTGAGTCCTTTCCAGAATCTGAGCTGCCATAGGAAGTATATTTTGTATCCATCGCCACGCAAACATCTTTATCTTCGGTGAGATGTTTAATACCCACACATTTTTCCAATTCACCAGTGAATAGAATTCACCCTATGTTTCTTCATTCCTGGTTTCCCATAGTCGATAAGCCGACTTGACAGTCTGCTCCACTGACTTTTCCTTACTCTTTATTCTTGCATCCTCAGTAGGGTTTCTAGGGATCGGAATTCACCTAATGTTTTTCCTGTATGTTGGGTTGAAATGAGCCTGTAGTAGGTTACTCCTCCAACTTCTTGTCTTCTGGTCGATCAATTCCACCGCAGAAGTAGAGGTTCCAATGATTGAAACTAGGGAGACAACCTTTAGATTAGCACTCGATGGTACCCACTTATCAATCCAGATGTCAATCTTGTCACCATTCTCAAATCTCCATCTCATACCACGTCTGAATAAATCCTTCGCTGCCATTAATCCCCTCCACACCCAGCTAGGATTCCTGCCCACTTCAGCTTCGAGATGGTCTCTGTCCTGAAATTATTTTGCTTTCAAAACCCTTGCAACTAGTCTCAGGATGTTGAATAACTCTCCACAACTGTTTACCCAGGTGGGCAAGATTAAAACTTTGCAAGTTTCTGAAACCCAAGCCACCAAGTTTCTTTGATTTACACAACTCCTTCTAACTTAACCAATGAGTTTTAGATTCTTCTTGTTGTTGTCCCCACTAGTAGTTTGTAATAGCTCGTTTAACTTCCCGTAGTGTATTTTCTGGATCAGGAAGACTGACATTGCAAATACCATTTCAGCCTGTTCTACTGATTTGATCAATACTTCCTTACCTGCCAGAGAGAGTAGTTTACCCTTACACATTTTTACTTTAGAGCGCACTCTATCCACTAGATAACCAAACACTTACTTCTTCGATTCGCCAATTATTGTAGGTAAACTCAAATATTTCTCGAGTGATCCACACACTTCATGTTCAGAATTCTTGGCAGCTCCTATTCCTTCTCCTGCCTTATGTTCAGACTAAAAGACAGTTCAGATTTTTGTAGGTTACTTGATGACCAAATTCTGCTTCATATAGATTTAGGATCTCCCTTATTTCTCACACTCTACCTTATTTGCTCTACCAAACATGATGCTATCATCCACAAATAATAGGTGGGATATATGTGGGGCATTCCTTATCACGATGCATCACCACCTCCTCGGATGGAACTCCTTCAATTCTGGTATCCGCCTCTCTTGGGACACGTGCCTCGTCAGACTCAGCCTCTGGAAATATGTCAGGTGAACCCACTAAGAGCATGGCGCCTCCTGAGGTTTCCCCCACCGACTGTTGCACTTGATGTTGCAGTCGTACTGTCTCTGCACGAGCTTCATCACGCTCTGCCATAAGAACTTCATGCTCAGCAGCATGATCCTCCTTGAGTCTCGTCATCTCCTGTAGCAATGCTGCTCCTGAGGCTTCCAATTCTTGTAGCCTCTCTGAAGTGATCATTTGGCGATTTCAAACTTCGCGGAGGAGTGCCTCAACCTCGCTAGCACGACCCCTTGCTTCTTCCACTTTCCTAGTTTGATTACGAAGATCATGCTCTACGCGTACAACATTTTGTTGAGCTGTCATAACTTCTGCCCTTGCTCTTGCTACGCGCCTCTCCATCTCGGCGGCATATTGATTCATCTGCAGGAAACACTAAGGTTAGTTAACTCATCACAATTTACGTTAACTAATTAACAATAAAGTTACCTGGTTTTGCGATAATGCAAAGCAAACACCGGCAGCCTCGCCTTCAAGAGGAGGAAATTGATTCCCGATATCACGCAAGGTATGGTAGTTCATAAAAAGTGGGACATCTGTCCTTCCTCTACCAGGGGTGCCTTGACCACCCTGGCGATGGGACTCTGAGTTATGATATGCTCTCGCCTTCTGAAAACGACCGTGATCGCCCCCGCGGGCAGAATGACTCGAGCTACTAGCCTCGAATTTCCTTCTTGAATCATAATTCTTGCCTCGATATGGAGACGAGCGACGCACTCGTTTGTTTTGACTACCAATCGAAGTCGTCATTGCTGGTTCGGGCTCCTCGGAAATTTCACGGATCACCACACCACTTTGAGGACGGGGAGCTGGCGGCGGTAATCTCGCAGTAAATCGGGAATTCTCTTGAATTTCCATGCATGCTCTAAAATGCGAGTAGGCTGCAAAAACAAAAACGAAAAACATATAGGTAATAAGGAATCACTCAAATATTAACAAACAATACCCAAACGTACCATCATTATAAACCGTGAAAAAGAGGATAGCCCGAGCCTCAGGAGTCTCAACGTTAATCCGCCCTCCTTCTGATATCCTTTTTACTTTGGCGGCTAGATCTCTTTGTACTACGTATTCTCTACGTACTGCTTGTCTGTGAAGTCCTTCCAACTCGATATCCCTCCATTCAGTAGGGATCATAACACCCTCAGATGAAAGTTCACCTGAAGCTGGAAAGAAATAGAAAAACTCACGTTCCCAACCCCGGTCTGCACGACCATATGGAGTCACGAGGCCAAGTGCATTAGATCTACTATGAAGAGACCATCCAGTAGCTTCACCACGAAGGTAGAAGCATGCATAAAAAAGTTCTACTGAGGGTGACACACCGGCCCTGTGACAACCCAAACAAAAAGCAGCAACAAGTGTCCAAAATCCCGGTGTCACCGTGCTTAACGTCAAATGAGATCTCCGCATCACATCACATAGCCACGTCGGAAATGGTAAACGAAGCCCATAATCGAGGGATGCTCGATATACAGCATGCCATCCCACACCACGATTGCCTGGGGTAGTATACCGTGTCGGGACCGCGTACTCCCAGTGGCGCGGCATATCAAATTGCAACAGAGTACTTTGTACCCAACTCTCATTACGATTAAAACGTCCACCCGGACCTATCATAGCCCATTCTGAGAAATGAGATGTGGAATAAAACATACCATGCCATGGTCGGATAGAGAATGTTGGTGTGTCTCGACGATTAGAGGCAGACGATCCTTCCCCAGGGACTAGTTGTTCACCCCTCCCACGAACTGGCTCCGAACATGGGACTGAGCGTAGAGGCATTGGTAGATTAGATAATCCCTCGCGTTCGGGTGCATGGGACTTTTCTTTTGACATGCTAGCTCCAAGAACAAAAATAATAACACATAAATATTATTAACATGATAAATAAACAAATTTCATGTAAATTTGGCAGCCATTACGAAGATAGTGGGAAGGAAGAATTACCTATGATTAATAATGGTAATGGTGGGTGCAGAATTGTGTGACGAGAATGAACTTCACTTGACCAATGGATGAAAAACTAGCAACTTGGTGGCTGAAGGATAGATATGGATTGATAAATGATTTTTCACCCAGTATGTCTCACGAGCATGAGATTTTGTGAAGGTAGAGCAACCTCTGTCACTTGCATAATCTGATGAAGGGAACAGAATGAGGAAGGAAAGGTAAAATGGAATGAATGGTGAAGGGAAAGCTCTCCCCTATTTATATGAGTAGAGTTACTAATAGGGATCCCTCTCATCCCTATTAGTAAGAGGGCAACTGATAAACCCTCACAAGTCACAACTTCCCTCTCCCACACAACTAAGCTGTAAACATCATCCCCATTCAATCCACGTGTAAGAGAGGGATGCTATATGGTAAAATCTCATCATCTTTTTATCACACATAACCAAACCTATAAAGCTACGTGGAAGAGAAAGGGCAATATGGCTCATCTTCCCACCTCGTGCTACTCCTTGACAAGTAGAAAACCAAGTGTGTTTCTCACTTACTTAAGAAGTTGGAGAATTTACCCTAAAGCACACAATTAACATGCTTATTTTGCCTTGTTACACGTGTATGTGAACTAAGCTTAGTCTCCCATTTACCCTAAACAAGCCAATTACACGTGGAAACTAGTAAGACTAAAGGTGTCATTTTTTATCACTAACCCTTTTAATAATTCATACTAAGCCCATCCCATATTCTTACACGTGGAAGCAAGCATGGTGAGCTTTGGCATTTTAATTTGCTAGCCATATGCATGCACTTACACGTCCCAGGTAAGTTTCTCAAACCATTAATTAAGTTGTTAATTTCATTTGTTATTTGATGTTTTAAATCACTATTGATAAAGGATACGCCACCCCGTCAGGAGCAGGATGCGCCTATAAATAGGTCGTTCATTTCTGCTTCCTCGGCGATCCATCTCAATTCCAGGGAACTCATTTTCTCTGAACGAGATAGGAAAAGGGGTATTCCCGACGAACTTCTTCTCGGCGAATTGGCAACTTCCAACCCCAAAATTTCTCTTTCTTTCTCCCTAGAGCCGGTTCTATACACCGCTCCCTGTTATTTCCAAGTACTGACTTGAGCTTTGGAGAAGGTCCCAGCCGACCACAACCGGCGGGTCCTCTTTTGCAGGTATTCATCTCGAGAGCTGGAATCCAACGGAAAATCAAAAGGTCAACGCTCTCCGGACTCTACAACGTACGAGGTCGACTATTTTAGCTTGGCATCAACAATTGGCGCCCACCGTGGGGCCCGGTGAGATTACTACCTATAGATTTCCAATTCAACCAGTCGAGATGGATACAACGGATTCTCAACTGCATGTTGAGATTGGTCAAGGTTCAACTCCAAACCCTGAGAAAACTCTACCATCCCAAAGGGTTGAAGATTTGCAGGCTGAAATTGAGCGACTTCGTGCTCAGATTCGGTCTGCAACGGAGGCTTCACAACCACCTCCGGTTCCTCTACCAACTTTCTACGGGAGTACGGGAGTCCCTAGATCCTCCAACAACCATCATAATGGCATTCCGGCAACAACTGAAGCAGCGGCCCAAGATGTCCCCCCAATTGTTCCTCACCTCGAAGAACTTCCTCCCCTGGGGACGTTTTCTCAACCAAGTACCGGTCGCCCCCTTGCTTTGGCCATTCTAAATGAGCCGTACCCGGGAAACATCCATATACCCAACCTTCCGGAGTACAATGGCACCACCGACCCAGAAGATCATTTCAGTTCCTTTGAGATTTTAATGCCTCTTATTGGTGCCTCTGATGCCACCATGTGTAAAATATTTCCCGCCACACTTGGAGGGGACGCTCGTCGATGGTACTCTCAGCTTCGTAATGGTATCATCAACAACTTCACCGAATTTTCCACACTGTTTCGGTGCAAGTTTTATGCCCAAAAGCGACAAGCAGTGAGCATTAATCAGCTCATGAATACCAAGCAACGAGAGGGTGAGGCTTTAAAAGCCTATTATGCTAGGTACAACACCTTGGCTATAGGCGTCACTTCCCTCTCTGTTGAAGTAATTGTCAACACGCTGACACGAGGAACAACAAACAGTCTTCTTCGAGCTTCCCTCATCAAGAAACCCCCTCGGAGTATGTTTGAGCTACAGGAGCGGGTCATGAAGTACATCGGTCTAGAAGAAGCTTTACAAGATTCCTCTTACGTTGTGCCAAAGCGTAGGAGGGATTCGCCTCCGCCAAACCGAGAAACTTTACAACGCCCCCGCCCAACTTTGGATAACATGCCCAAGGCTCAAAAAGATGATCGCAGAAGGGATGGGCCATTCCCTCCAGGCCAAAATTTTACCCCACTCAACAATCCACGGAGGAATGTTCTCCAGGTCATTCAAGATAAAAAGCTTCCGGTGACATGGCCACCTCGAGGTCGCATAAAACCAATAAAAGGAAAGAACCAATTTTGTGACTTTCATCGGGGATACGGGCATGACACCGAGGAATGCGAAAAATTGGGAAGATCCATCGAGGGACTGATTCAAAATGGGCAACTTAAGCAGTTCATCCAAAGTTCCAAAGGCTCAATCCAACTACCTTCGTCATCGGACAAAGGAAGAGCTCCACAAGGAAGCGGACCTGTGTTAGGGGTCATCCCAGTCATACATGGAGGAACTGGACTACGACAGGAATTGTCCACCTCTCGTAAGACGTATGCTCGAACTTTGGTTGGCTCCACCTCCACTATCTCAGATCAAAATCCTATCATTTTTGATTCCCGAGATCTCGAGGATATCGAATATCCCCATGATGATCCTCTGGTGATTGAGGCTACCATCGCCAACTACACAGTAAAACGAGTTCTCATTGACGGAGGGAGCTCAGCCGACCTACTTTTTTACCCCGCTTTCTGCTCATTGGGTTTTCGCTTGGATCGGTGTCAACCTTCCAGTGTCTTTCTTTTAGGCTTCTCTGGCAACCAAGTCCCGGTACTTGGAATTTTACCCCTTCATGTTCGCATCGGCAATGGCGACCAAGCAATCGAGACATTGGTTAACTTTCATGTGGTGGAATGTTCCTCTGCATACAATGGAATTCTTGGAAGACCCTTTCTACATCAAGCTCACGCCATCCCTTCTACGCTTCATCTCAAATTGAAGTTCCCTACTCCGTCCGGGGTAGGTTGTGTCCGAGGGGATCAAGCAATCGCCAAGCAATGTTGTGCATTTTCCCTTAAAGATAAACATGTCACTACTGTTGACACTCGAGAAGAGGTAGCTCGCCCTGTGCCAGTCGACCTTGATGAGGAACAAGTTGTTCAAGATGGCCTTACCATCCGTGTCTCAACCGCTTGGCCTAAAGAAGCTCTTCCTCAACTTCTCAACTTAGTCCGAGAATTTAAAGAACTACTCGCCCAAGGTCCTGAAGACATGCCTGGACTTGATCGTCGGGTAGCTGAGCATGCCCTAGGAATTCTCTCAGGCTGTCTTCCTGTACAACAAAAGAGAAGGAACTTTGCATGGGAACGACGTCAAGCTGTTGCAGAAGAAGTAGTCAAACTCGCTCAGGCAGGATTCATCCGAGAAATTCTCTACCCCACATGGCTGGCCAACGTTGTTATGGTAAAAAAAGCCAATGGGCAGTGGAGGATGTGCGTAGACCTCACTGACCTCAATAAGGCATGCCCAAAAGACCCATATCCTCTTCCCAAAATTGATCGATTGATTGATGCTACCTCTGGGCACCGCCTTCTTTCCTTCCTCGACATGTTTTCTGGTTATCACCAGATTCCCATGAAAAAAGAAGATAAAGAAAAAACAGCATTCATGACCCCAGTTGGTAATTATTGCTATAAGGTTATGCCTTTTGGCTTAAAGAATGCTGGAGCCACCTATCAACGAATGGTTGATCGTGTCTTCTCACGTCAACTTGGTCGGAACCTAGAAGCCTACGTTGATGATATCTTGGTAAAAAGTAACAGTGTCAATGAACATCTGGAAGATTTGCGAGAAACATTCAACACTCTTCGCCTATATGCTCTTCGACTCAACCCTAAGAAGTGTGTTTTTGGGGCGACTGCTGGAAAATTCTTGGGGTTCATGGTAACCCAGAGAGGGATCGAGGCAAACCCTCGACAAATTGATGCCATCCTCCAAATGTCCTCCCCAACCAGAGGCAAAGAAGTACAAGTTCTCACAGGTCGCATCGCCGCACTCAATCGTTTTATCTCTCGTGCCAGTGATTGTTGTGCTCCATTCTTTGCCACTTTGAAGGATGCCAGGAAACACTTTGAATGGACACCTGAGTGCGAAAAAGCTTTTACTAAGCTCAAGGATTTTTTAGTGACACCTCCAGTGCTCTCTTGCCCCGGTAAATAATGAAACTCTTTTCATGTATTTTGCCGTGTCGCAGAAGGCTGTGAGCTTGGTACTTCTTCGTCGAGATACTGACAACTCCGAACATCCGATATATTATACCTGTAAAACTCTACTAGATGCTGAGACCAGGTATTCACCCGTAGAAAAAGCTGCTTTAGCTGTGGTCGTGGCCTCCAGAAAGCTTCGCCCATACTTCCAAAGCCACTCTATATGTGTTTTCACACAATTGCCACTCCGAAAGCTTCTCCAACGTATGGATGTAGCGGGTCGAATGATCAACTGGGCCATTGAATTAAGTGAGTATGATATCACCTACCTCCCCCGTACATCCATCAAATCACAGGTGTTGGCTGACTTTGTGGCCGAAGGAGTTCATGTTACCACACCATCCGAGTCAGAAACTTGGAGGCTATTTGTGGATGGAGCTTCAAGCAAGTCCGGATCTGGAGCAGGAGTGCTTCTTATCAGTCCATTGGGTGTTACCCATGAGTTGGCTGTTCGTTTTACAACTCCAAGAACTAATAATGCCACAGAATACGAAGCCCTACTAGCTGGCTTAACAATGGCACAAGAATTAGGAGTTCAAAGAATCTTGATACACTCAGACTCTGCCCTTGTTGTCAATCAAGTTATGGGGGCATACGAGGCTCGTGAACCTGCCCTAACTGCCTACGTCAATGCTGCTCGAGCCATTATGACTCATTTTATACATGTTGAGATAAAACATGTATTACGAGAAGAAAATCTCCATGCGGATGCCCTCTCGAAGCTTGCCACGGCTCGAGACTTCCCTGAAGACAGGAATGTGGTAGTTGAGCGTCTCCCTCCTTTGTTGTGCGCTCCTATTATCTCATCATCACTCCCACAAGATTGGCGCACACCCCTCATGGAGTATCTCCAACATGACCTTCTACCCACTGACCCCAAGGAAGCCATGAAACTTCGGAGGCGTGCTCCTCGCTACCTCCTTATAGAAGGTGTACTCTACAAAAAAAGTTTTATGGGCCCGTACCTCCGGTGCCTTGGTGAAGAGGAAGCCAACTTTGCTATCCGTGAAACTCACGATGGATCATGTGGAATGCACGCTGGCCCACGAAGTCTCGAGAAGATCCTCCTCAGGCAGGGATACTATTGGCCCACTATGCGCCGAGACACGCGAGAGTATGTCAAATCTTGTATCAAGTGTCAAGTTGCCGCCCAAGTTCCACATGCACCACCTGGGCCCATGCAAGGAAATATTAGTCCATGGCCATTTGCCCAATGGGGAATGGACTTCCTGGGACCATTCCCTGAAGCCCCGGGACGAAAAAAATGGCTCATTGTCGCAATCGACTACTTCACCAAATGGGTAGAAGCGAGAGCCATCACTGGACTCACTGCCCAACAAGTCGAGAAATTCTTGTGGGAAAATATCATTTGCCGCTTTAGTCTTCCCCACACCATCATACTCGATCAAGGGACACAGTTCACAAGTGAAAGTCTTCAAACATACTGTGCACGGTATGGCATCCTCCTCCGTTATGCTTCTGTCGCCTATCCTCAAGCTAATGGACAAGCAGAGTCAGCCAATAAAAACATCCTCTGGGGGCTAAAAACTCGACTAAATGAAGCAAAAGGAAAGTGGGCGGAAGAACTTTCTCATGTTCTTTGGGCCCATCGCACGACCTATAAAACAGCCACAGGGGAGTCACCCTATGCCCTCACCTTTGGCCTAGATGCAGTAATTCCTGTGGAAACTGAGCTTTCCTCCTACCGCATTGAAACATTTCACCCTAACGATAATCAACAGGAGCTCGTTCATGACCTCCATCTCATTGAAGAACGTCGAGAAGACGCTCTCCTCAGAATGACAGCCATGAAGGCACGTGTAGCTCGTTACTACAATACCAAAGTAAAGCAGCGACCAATATGTGAAGGTGAATGGGTTCTCCGCCGCAACTTTTACCACAAAACAAGCTTAGGAAAGTTCAATCCACCATGGGAAGGACCCTACAGAGTACGCAAAGTGGTCGGTCCAAACACTGTCAAGCTTTCTGATGCTAGTGGCCGAAATATTCCCCGCACCTGGAACACCATGCACCTTCGAAGGTACTTTACGCCATAATATGTATCGAGTATGCCATAATACGTACATAGTGTATGCCATAATATGTATTACGTGTTTGTTGCGACATGTACAAAAGGTTTGAAATAAAATGGTGATACGTCACCACCTAGTTTCATTAAAAACCGCTATATGTACAACGCAAAATGCACGGTTACATATCTATGACGAACTACTAATGTACATAGGCAAGATATGCTGCTACATAAACATGGCACACATAGGTAATATATCCGAATATCTTTGCGGAGCAAGATACTACCTGTACAGAGAAAAGTTTGCTACCACCGCAAGCTACACTATCTCACATAGGAGGACCGAAGCCAAGTATTTCATTCACCCAGGCGTTCTCAGCAGACATCGCCAGCTCTGACGGGATCGGGCTATCCATTGCAGCAATAAATGATTGATCCGCAGAAGCCGTATCAAATATCGGGGTAGAAATGAAAGGCTCAATCTCCAGGTTATCACGATGCATCACCACCTCCTCGGATGGAACTCCTTCAATTCTGGTATCCGCCTCTCTTGGGACACGTGCCTCGTCAGACTCAGCCTCTGGAAATATGTCACGTGAAACCACTAAGAGCATGGCGCCTCCTGAGGTTTCCCCCACCGACTGTTGCACTTGATGTTGCAGTCGTACTGTCTCTGCACGAGCTTCATCACGCTCTGCCATAAGAACTTCATGCTCAGCAGCATGATCCTCCTTGAGTCTCGTCATCTCCTGTAGCAATGCTGCCCTTGAGGCTTCCAATTCTTGTAGCCTCTCTGAAGTGATCATTTGGCGATTTCGAACTTCGCGGAGGAGTGCCTCAACCTCGCTAGCACGACCCCTTGCTTCTTCCACTTTCCTAGTTTGATTACGAAGATCATGCTCTACGCGTACAACATTTTGTTGAGCTGTCATAACTTCTGCCCTTGCTCTTGCTACGCGCCTCTCCATCTCGGTGGCATATTGATTCATCTGCAGGAAACACTAAGGTTAGTTAACTCATCACAATTTACGTTAACTAATTAACAATAAAGTTACCTGGTTTTGCGATAACGCAAAGCAAACACCGGCAGCCTCGCCTTCAAGAGGAGGAAATTGATTCCCGATATCACGCAAGGTTTGGTAGTTCATAACAAGTGGGACATCTGTCCTTCCTCTACCAGGGGTGCCTTGACCACCCTGGCGATGGGACTCTGAGTTATGATATGCTCTCGCCTTCTGAAAACGACCGTGCTCGCCCCCGCGGGCAGAATGACTCGAGCTACTAACCTCGAATTTCCTTCTTGAATTATAATTCTTGCCTCGATATGGAGAGGAGCGACGCACTCGTTTGTTTTGACCACCAATCGAAGTCGTCATTGCTGGTTCGGGCTCCTCGGAAATTTCACGGATCACCACACCACTTTGAGGACGGGGAGCTGGCGGCGGTAATCTCGCAGTAAATCGGGAATTCTCTTGAATTTCCATGCATGCTCTAAAATGCGAGTAGGCTGCAAAAACAAAAACGAAAAACATATAGGTAATAAGGAATCACTCAAATATTAACAAACAATACCCAAACGTACCATCATTATAGACCGTGAAAAAGAGGATAGCCCGAGCCTCAGGAGTCTCAACGTTAATCCGCCCTCCTTCTGATATCCTTTTTACTTTGGCGGCTAGATCTCTTTGTACTACGTATTCTCTACGTACTGCTTGTCTGTGAAGTCCTTCCAACTCGATATCCCTCCATTCAGTAGGGATCATAACACCCTCAGATGAAAGTTCACCTGAAGCTGGAAAGAAATAGAAAAACTCACGTTCCCAACCCCGGTCTGCACGGCCATATGGAGTCACGAGGCCAAGCGCATTAGATCTACTATGAAGAGACCATCCAGTAGCTTCACCACGAAGGTAGAAGCATGCATAAAAAAGTTCTACTGAGGGTGACACACCGGCCCTGTGACAACCCAAACGAAAAGCAGCAACAAGTGTCCAAAATCCCGGTGTCACCGTGCTTAACGTCAAATGAGATCTCCGCATCACATCACATAGCCACGTCGGAAATGGTAAACGAAGCCCATAATCGAGGGATGCTCGATATACAGCATGCCATCCCACACCACGATTGCCTGGGGTAGTATACCGTGTCGGGACCGCGTACTCCCAGTGGCGCGGCATATCAAATTGCAACAGAGTACTTTGTACCCAACTCTCATTACGATTAAAACGTCCACCCGGACCTATCATAGCCCATTCTGAGAAATGAGATGTGGAATAAAACATACCATGCCATGGTCGGATAGAGAATGTTGGTGTGTCTCGACGATTAGAGGCAGACGATCCTTCCCCAGGGACTAGTTGTTCACCCCTCCCACGAACTGGCTCCGAACATGGGACTGAGCGTAGAGGCATTGGTAGATTAGATAATCCCTCGCGTTCGGGTGCATGGGACTTTTCTTTTGACATGCTAGCTCCAAGAACAAAAATAATAACACATAAATATTATTAACATGATAAATAAACAAATTTCATGTAAATTTGGCAGCCATTACGAAGATAGTGGGAAGGAAGAATTACCTATGATTAATAATGGTAATGGTGGGTGCAGAATTGTGTGACGAGAATGAACTTCACTTGACCAATGGATGAAAAACTAGCAACTTGGTGGCTGAAGGATAGATATGGATTGATAAATGATTTTTCACCCAGTATGTCTCACGAGCATGAGATTTTGTGAAGGTAGAGCAACCTCTGTCACTTGCATAATCTGATGAAGGGAACAGAATGAGGAAGGAAAGGTAAAATGGAATGAATGGTGAAGGGAAAGCTCTCCCCTATTTATATGAGTAGAGTTACTAATAGGGATCCCTCTCATCCCTATTAGTAAGGGGGCAACTGATAAACCCTCACAAGTCACAACTTCCCTCTCCCACACAACTAAGCTGTAAACATCATCCCCATTCAATCCACGTGTAAGAGAGGGATGCTATATGGTAAAATCTCATCATCTTTTTATCACACATAACCAAACCTATAAAGCTACGTGGAAGAGAAAGGGCAATATGGCTCATCTTCCCACCTCGTGCTACTCCTTGACAAGTAGAAAACCAAGTGTGTTTCTCACTTACTTAAGAAGTTGGAGAATTTACCCTAAAGCACACAATTAACATGCTTATTTTGCCTTGTTACACGTGTATGTGAACTAAGCTTAGTCTCCCATTTACCCTAAACAAGCCAATTACACGTGGAAACTAGTAAGACTAAAGGTGTCATTTTTTATCACTAACCCTTTTAATAATTCATACTAAGCCCATCCCATATTCTTACACGTGGAAGCAAGCATGGTGAGCTTTGGCATTTTAATTTGCTAGCCATATGCATGCACTTACACGTCCCAGGTAAGTTTCTCAAACCATTAATTAAGTTGTTAATTTCATTTGTTATTTGATGTTTTAAATCACTATTGATAAAGGATACGCCACCCCGTCAGGAGCAGGATGCGCCTATAAATAGGTCATTCATTTCTGCTTCCTCGGCGATCCATCTCAATTCCAGGGAACTCATTTTCTCTGAACGAGATAGGAAAAAGGGAATTCCCGACGAACTTCTTCTCGGCGAATTGGCAACTTCCAACCCCAAAATTTCTCTTTCTTTCTCTCTAGAGCCGGTTCTATACACCGCTCCCTGTTATTTCCAAGTACTGACTTGAGCTTTGGAGAAGGTCCCAGCCGACCACAACCGGCGGGTCCTCTTTTGCAGGTATTCATCTCGAGAGCTGGAATCCAACGGAAAATCAAAAGGTCAACGCTCTCCGGACTCTACAACGTACGAGGTCGGCTATTTTAGCTTGGCATCAACAATTCCACTCTGTCGTAAGCCTTAGTTATGTCCAATTTTGCAGCCACAAACCCTTTATTCCCTAGAGTTCTAGTCTTTATGGAGTGAAAACATTCGAAAGCTATCATCACATTATCTGTGATTAGTTTCCCTCGCAAAGGAGCTTTGCTTTAGTATAATCACCTAATTTTATACACCATTAAGCCTGTTGGCTAGTACCTTGGATAGTATCTTGTAGAGTTCTTTGCACAAGCTAATAAGGCGAAAGTCAATTGGGGTGTTAGGGTTCTTTTTCTTTGGGATCAAGGCAATCAAGGTATGATTAACCTCTTGAGGGAAACTTCATGCCTCCAAATATCCATGTAACTCTGTTGTCACTGCATCTCCCACTATTTCCCAGTTCTTTTGAAAGAACAGGGAAGGCATACATCAGCTCCTGGAGCTTTTAGTGGCCCCATAACCTTAAAAGTTGCCAAAATTTCATCCCTAGTGAAGGGTTTGAGCAATTCTTCATTCATAGCTCCCGTGGCATTTTGTGGTAAAGCTTCAATTATGGTGTTAGAGTCTGGCCTGGCCCTAGAGGTATACAATTTTTTTCAAAATGGTACAATACAGTCCAAAACTACTTGTTGTCCCTGTCAAATTCTCCCACCTTCACGTCTTAGCTTCTTGATCATGTTCTTGGCTTTTCTGTCCGGCGTTCTTCTATGCAAGAACTTAGTATTTTTATCCCCACGTTGTAACCACTATGTTCTGGATCTTTGCTTCCAGATCAGCTCTTCCTGCAGTAATATGTCTTCCAGCTCACTTTCAAGGACCTTTTTTGCCCCAAAATTGCTTCCGTTTTGTGCATTTTCTCAATCTTTTCTAAATCCCTTTCTGCTTTTATTCTTCGGGCTTTGAGACTACCAAAAGTTTGTCTGCTCCAATTCTTCAACTTTTGTTCACAAGATCTTATTCTCCCCATCGTTAAGCCAACTCCATTTCCTTTCAATACCTCATTTATAACCTTTTTGCAATTCTCGTGGTCTTGCCAATATGCTTCAAATCTGAACCACATTGCTTATAGATGATAGACACCTGCTTCAGGGTTGAGTTTTCTCCCGGTTTATGTGGCTACCATTCTGTCTAAGCGTTCTTCCAAATATGTCTCATCTTTGTGGTTATTATACCACGTAAAAGGTTTCCCATAGAAACCTAAGTCCTCCAGCATACAATCTTCCAGGGCTCTATTAAAACCCTCCAACCCAAGTTGTTTTGATTTCCTTGTTACTTTGTTTTTTGTTTTCCTTATTAGCGTTGGATTGCTTCTCTATTTCTTTGTTACTTTTGGATATTGGTTGTTGCTTTCATTATAAATAGTTGATAAGTGGTAATAATGTTAATATGACATGTTATGATAAAACTCCTTATTTAGTCATTAGGTAATTATGTTTTTTTCGTTCTTCTTTCTTAAGAAATCCTACGAATAATTTACGTGGAATAATCCACGTAACATATTCTCTCTCTCTTCGGCAGTTGCAACGACAAATCATTCCGTCATCGATTTTATTTTCTCGCTCTTATGAAATATCAAAGCCTGCCGCCATCACTTTCATCCTCCTTCTCTAGAGTCGTCTCTCTGGACTATCTCCTTGTCTCGCTTCGACTGCGGCGACAATGACTCATTCACTCTAGCCCATCTCTCTCTCTCACGGCTGGTGGTGGCAACCAAGCCATCAACTTCTCTCTTTTCTCTGTCTATATCACGTCTCTATTGGTTGCCAAGTTTTCGATGAGGATGTTGCTTACTTTCTCTTGCCTCTTCTAATTCTTAAAAGATAAATATCTTCTAAAATTATTGTAGAAAAAGGAAGGACATAAGTTACTATCTTACCACTAACTAATTAATCAAAATTTCAAATATTAATTTATGTAAACGAAATTCATATTGGCTAGGCATAGTGACTTAAGGGAACTCCCTTTAGTCACCTGATCTCATCCCTTCTCACCATGGGCTCAAGTAGCGATGCCAACCGAACATGTATCTCAATTCTCATATCCTCATCAAGCTTAAATCAAGTCCGATAATACTAGCGTGGTGTATGGATTGGACAGATCAACTCATTCAAGAATATATTTATTTTTAACGATAAAACAAACAAAATATAGTCCGTGATGAAACTTAGAGATAATAGGTAGATTAATTGAATCTAATTAGTTGAAATCTTGCCCTTATTTAAACTATCATTGAGCGAACATATGAGTTGATAGAAGTTAACATAGGAGAAATAAAAATAAATATTTAGACAAATTAAGATAGAACACCTCAAAAAAGAGGCGAGATGAAACGAAACAGAACAAGACGAAAACAATACCTATGCTCTGCTCCACACTAGGGTAAAATATTCTGGGTACCACTAAAGTATGAGAATCGGGAGAGCTATACCACTTAAGTAAGAATAGAACATCGCGTGCCACTAAACTCTGTTATATGTGCACTCGATACCATTTAAGTTTACTCTCAAGTGCATTCCATTAAGGTTGACAAAATATTATTGGAATATTCCGTTTTCTAAATTTCAGAATTGGTCCTTTTACTTTTGGTATTGTAAAAAATCTTTTGAACTTATGAAAAACCTCATTATTTTATAGTTGGAATAATCTTTTGAATACTTTGTTTTATACCAAACCAATTTTTGAATATGAAATTTAGAATCAATTATCATTACAAGTATTTTCTATTTTCATTATGTGTTCAAATAATAAGATATATTCCCTTAAGAAAATATATCCTATTAATTCTGTCTCGATATAAATAATCAGAGAATTTTATATTTAGTTCTCTTACATCAGGCTGATCTTGTCTAATTTTCTATATTAAATCTCTTTGTAATTATCTAATATTATGTAGATATTTCATATTAATTAAATTTATTAATAGTAATTCTCTTTCTATAATCATATTTTCTTTTTTAGATTTATTACTTCATGTTGTAGCTTTTATAGTTTACATAGATCTTCTTTTGTCTTGATGTATGATGGTCGATTAGATTCTATTTTAACTATTTTTAGTGATTTTTCATATTGTATTAAGAGTTTAAATAGATCTTCTAATATTAATTTTATATATTTATTATTATATTCTAGTATATTTGTTATTTCTTCTTCATATTCATTTATTATTTTTACTAATTTATCTATTTTATTGAAAAAAATTCATTAGTCATTCTAGTAATACTATGTTTAGAAGGTTTTCTAATTTTATATTAGATAATACTTATTGAAGTGTAGTTTTTTATGTTTTAAAAAGTTTTGGGTACCAAAAGGTAATTAAGGTTTTGGGTTGGATGGAAACCTAGACAGATGCACCTTTTGACGACTTTAATGATCTGAATTTCTATTTAACGCCCTAAATTTTTAAATAAATCGCCCTAAATATAATGAATGGACGATTTTGCCCCCAACATTAAACCCCCTTTCTTCAATTAATTGAATATAGATTTACGCCCTAATGACATTCTGTCTTCCGCGGCCAGCCGCCCTCTATATTTCCCAAAAACGCCGTCGCCCTCTCTCTTCACCGACTTCGTCGCCGCCTTCTATCTTCCACGTCATCGCCACCGCAATATGCTTCATCTCGCCTCCTCCCTCTGTCGCACCCCGCAGCGCCGAGACCCTCTGTCTTCCCCGGTAGAGTCGCCCTATCCACCACTTGTTCTTCTTGGTCGAAGGTTCCATCACCATCTCTCAAACCTCTGTCGATCTTCCCTTCCATAACTGCGTCCGAACCAGGCGCCATTCTGTCATTTTTACTATGTTAATAATCAAAGACAATGCCCAAATTGATTCCACTATAGCACCCAGGTAATACAAGCGTTTACCTTAAAGGCTTGCCACCTCCGGTTTCGCTAACCGGTGACAATGAAATGGGGTAGCCATAGTTGTGGACAACTGCCGCCGCTTAGCTTCGTTTGAAATTTAGAATAGGGGTAAATGTGTCTATTTTAAATTTAGGGCGATAAAATTTGAAAATCTAGGGCGACGAATAGTAACTCCCCAATGCTCTATTCAAACTTAAGTGGTATGTTTGCCCCAATTCTCAAACTTAAGTGGTATCAAAGGTATTTTAGTATTTTACCCCTCCACACTACTGGGAGTCGGGTATTACTATCCATATTCAACGGGAATCAGGCCAGATAATAGTTTATCCATTATAATTATAAGGGTTAATAGCATTTTCTACTCCTCTACTATCGCAAATTAACAAACATACTCTTCTCCTAATTTTTTGCACAAACGTATCCTTCTACTATTAAAACATAACAAATATAATCTTCTGTCTAATTTTCTGTTAAACGACTATTAAGTGGGCTGGGAAATGACTAAATTGCCCCTCATTTGATGCTAATTTAATTTCAATTATTAATAATTCCAATATAATTAAAATTAAAACAAAACCCTTAAACATATCCCTCCACCCAACTCGAAACCATCCATCTTCCCAAAGCCCCCGCCTCCCCTGAAATTCAGTCTCCCCTGAAGTCTCAATCTCCGGCGGGGGTTACGTTTTCTCCTCGCCGGCGGCTGGAGCAGGAAGGACTGCTTGGTGATCCGCGGTTGATCCATCTTCTCCGTACGAACACACAGCTCACAGCTGGAGGGTGGCGTGCGATTTTTCCTTGCCGGCGACTGTAGCAGCCTGTGTTGAGGATATTAATTACTTAGTCAAAAAGTAATTAATTCCTTGTCCTACAAGTCCCTAGTTTTCCTTGTTCAAGTAAAAGAAGGAAACTTGGTTGTCCTTAGGGTTTTAACCCTACGTCTATCTCTATATAAGCTTAGCTACGAACATGTCGTAAGCAAGCCGTCAAGATGTAGTCGTATAATAAAACATCAGTCGTGAGCTCGTTCCGAGCTCACCGTGGATTAGTCTCGATCAATCAATCGATCGAGGATACCACGTAAAACTCGTTGTCCCGTGTTATTTTCAATTCCGCATCATCAAATTCTACATGGTATCAGAGCAGACCTCGATATACTAGGGTTTTGTGTTTGATCTTCCGCAGTCTTCTTTCGCAATCACCATATGTCGTAAGCAAGCCGTCAAGATGTAGTCGTATAATAAAACATCAGTCGTGAGCTCGTTCCGAGCTCACCGTGGATTAGTCTCGATCAATCAATCGATCGAGGATACCACGTAAAACTCGTTGTCCCGTGTTATTTTCAATTCCGCATCATCAAATTCTACATGGTATCAGAGCAGACCTCGATCTACTAGGGTTTTGTGTTTGATCTTCCGCAGTCTTCTTCCGCAATCACCATATGTCGGACATCATTGTCTCTCCCCGGCAGCATCGACGTCATCAGTCTGGCGCCTTCCCTCTTGCACGGCGGAGCTTCTTCCTCTCGCAGGCGTTGTCCGCTTAGAAGTCTTGTCCACCGGGTGTCTTCGTCAAGGTCACTTGGAATTCAAAAGTAGCGTGGTTCAACACTCATCAAGCTTCCAGTCTTCGTCCGCGAGTTGGTTTGTCGATGGGCCCGCCAATCATCGTCGGCAGCTCCGAATCGCCGCCCCGCCGGTCAGGCAAGGCCCATCGCCCCTCGAAGCTTCCAGAGGTCGTCCGTCCCAATGTGTCAAATCCTTCATCTCAGGTCCGCAGTCAATCAAGCCTCCAAGGCAAAGTCAATTCCGGCGCTGAGCAATCTAGGTCAAACCGCCACATTAGTCTGTCGAGAAATCCTTGTCATCATTGCAGCCGCCGATCATCTTCATCAAGGCCACTCACAGCTGCAGTCCGTCAATTGGAATAAGAAGCAGTCTATCATGCATGTTCATTGACCGCTGCCGTTTTCGTTCTTATTCAATCAAGCTACAACCGAGAATCCTTTTGCTCCCACACCCTTCAGCATTCAAGCACTTTTGGGTCTTAGAAAATTCCATGTTGGGGGAGTTTAACAGGTACGTTCGGTGCACCAAACTTCCTAGTTCCTACCCATCTACAATACCTTTTGGGTTTGTCTTGTCATCTCCTGTTGCTTGGAAGCTTGTCATGCTTGTGGTGCTGTTTTTGGTTAAATTCCAAACTGGAGAACGGTTAGTAGGATTTCATCAGGATCAATGGAATTACACGGTAAAAAAAAAATTGTAATGTTCTGCCTTGTGTTCGTGGTGGAGATTGTGTGCCTTGTTGCAGTTGTCGTCCTTATGTTGAGAACATCAATCAATATCATGACAGTGAAGACCCAGTAATGGTCGTCCCTTCAATAGTCAGTCATGATCAAGTGATAAAGCGAGACAGTCACGATCGCAGAAACGATCGTCCCCTCGCTGTTCAGGATCAGGTAATTTTCAGTCTTCATCATTTTAACTTTCAAACTGGGCATTCACTACGTTCATGCTCCAGTTTGAGGGGGAGAATAGGGAATCAACACATGTAGGTCGACTAGTTCAGTAATCAAGTCGACCGTGTGTATCTATCAATCATGTTGCTCGGGAAAGCACAGTCAGCAGTGCAGGCTGAAGTCTCCAAAGTTAGCAACGCAGTCATCAGTCTTCAATCTCATCCAAGACGTCAAGGAATTCCGCCATGCTGAGTTCATTGTCAAAGAATTGGGTCAAGTATGGAGTAGGATCAGTCTCATCCACGACGTCTAGGAGTTTCACCATGCTGAGTTCACTGTCAAAGGAACTGGGTCAAGCATGGAGTAGTTTCATCATTTGTCTACCCCTCCCGCAAGCGAACAAAGTCACAGCTAGTTGGATCGTCATTGCCAGCAAGAGGTTGTTTGAGTGTTGTTCAGTTTCAAGCTCGACATTCTTGTCATTCATGTCTTCGCTTGAGGGGGAGTGTTGAGGATATTAATTACTTAGTCAAAAAGTAATTAATTCCTTGTCCTACAAGTCCCTAGTTTTCCTTGTTCAAGTAAAAGAAGGAAACTTGGTTGTCCTTAGGGTTTTAACCCTACGTCTATCTCTATATAAGCTTAGCTACGAACATGTCGTAAGCAAGCCTTCAAGATGTAGTCGTATAATAAAATGAAGAAACATCAAATACTATAAATATCAATAAACCTGTAAATTCTTCATAGTGCGTCATTTGCAGACGATTATAATGATATCCAGCAAGTTTGATGAAATTTAACAATTTGTTTCTCTTAGCTTTTAAGTTATTAATTTCATTTTGAAGTTCTGTACATAAATCAGTAAAATATGAAATCTTAGCACCCAATACAGTATTTGATAACCTATAAATAATAATAATAATAATAATAATAATAATAATAATAATAATAAATCTATGGATTACCAGTTGGAATGTTGGCAAACTTATCCATATATACCTTTTTGCCTTGGATAATAAACATGCATTTTTCTTGCTAATTTAGTTTTTTTCCTGCGAATGCTAATTTAGTTAATGATTGATAAATTCTCTTCAAGTTCGAGGTATGTACATCTGTTTCTGAAAATATAAAATGGAGAGCAATGATTTTGTAAGATCAAGCAGTGTGCAATAGTTATATAGATTATAAATTATTGATTGTTCATCTATGTTCGTACCATCAAAAAACTTATGTTGTTCTCGAAAGAAATTGATAAGAACCAATCACACTTTTAAATTACATAAAAACGGTTCTCTTTTTCCATAAATGGAATGTGACATGAGAAAACATTAAATCGTAAGATGTATATAATTTTTTTTGATTGTATATGTAGTTATGTACTTATATTCAACTTTTTTGCGATGAAATTGAACCACTATGTGATTGTTTAGATAATTCTCTACGAAAATATTTCTCCGAGTCATAAAACTAAAAAAATAAAAATGTAGTCACTAAAAATATTAGTCTAAATAGTAGAAACAATTAATTACTTAAACTTTGTTTATGGTTTCTAATATATATGCAATTAGTAAACAATAATGAAACCCCAAAATGGACGTTATATTGCAAGAATATCAATTAATTATATCGGCCAGTTGTGTAGGTTAAATGCATCAAGTTATCAATTCATTTTGGATGTGTTTCTGGTGATGGGTTGTGATTTGTCAAGGAGGTGGTGGAATCAATCTAGCACCCAACAACATCATTGATTGTCTTAAATGAACTTGTGAAGATTTGGCGGATATCTCGGTGTCAAAGAAGCAGCAAATGTGATCGAGAAGGATGATGCAGGAAGAAGTTTATACAAATTCGGGTCGCTTCTCGAGGAAAATAATCTTTCATAGGGGATGTATGGATGAAAGATTAATTATTATTATTGAGGGTAAGAATGTTTTTCGACATATTTTAAATAGTTTTAGCGTCCCAACATTCTTGCCTCCAATCTCTCATTATGTATTACATATCCATGAATTTCAATAAATTATTAAATTTTCATCAAATCCTTATCAATTCTCTTAACCTCCATCTAGCTAGTCTCGGTTCTTCTTTATCCCGTAGTCTATTCTCTCTTAATTTTGACCAATTCTCCTTTAATACTATATTTCTATCAAACCATATCGATTGCCAAAATCCTCTCTTTTATCATATCAACTACCTCCATCATTAGTAGACTCTTTCTTCTTATCTTGCATTTTATTGAAAGCAAAAATTGAATGGTGGCATCTTTACAAATAAGAAATATAGTTTTTAGCTGATATAAAATTTACCCTTCCTTATCTTTAAAACCTTGTTCTCACTTATAGGGTCTACAATGTTTTATTATGTGAGCTTGATGCCGAAAACGTTAGATTTAACGTTTTTGTTCTCAATATGGAGTTGGATCTTGAATTTGTAAAATGAAAACAAATGAGACTAACTATCTATTAACATAATTTACGTTTTCGTAGGTATGAAGTTGTTTCCCCGAATAAATGAATATGAAGCCGAAAATAATGGAAAAGTAGAGATGAATTATTATGTACTTCTTGTCTTTTGTATATCATTGTACAATTCCCACAAAAGTACTCGTTGGAGTGTTTCAACATTTTGAGATAGGTTGCATATGCGGTATATGAGAATGACAATTAACTTGATATATACTCGCCCCGTGCAATAACATTCACAATTTTGGAATTTATAACACTTTTAGTGCGCCCAGGTACACATGGGAATAACAATAACAATTTTGAAATTTATAACACTTTTAGTGCGCCCCGGCTACATATGGAAATAATAGTATTTTTCAAGTTCAAGTTGTTTTCCATTCATGAATAATAATTATATTTGCGAAATAATTTATTTCAGAATTTTTAATGGCTTGGGTTCCGCTATAAAACCCCGACCTGCAAAACTCTGCAAAACCGCGGTCGTATCGACTAATCACCCTTATATGATCCTATCGGGGTGATATGATGTCGTAAATCGTAATATGGTGATACGACTAAGATTTTGCGAGGTTTTACAGGCAGGAGTGTTGTGCGCTCCCATCTTTTATATAGATCCTATTCAACAAATCTACTCACGGTTAATTAGAATTTTAAAATTTCGAATGCAACCAAAAGTAAAATTTAGAATGGCATGATCACATGAAACCCAGCTGATAAAACCCATGTTGCTTTATACGACATCATTTGAGTTTCTGGGTTTCTATTTAATGTTTTTTAATAGAGCAGGGCCAATAATATAGTAAGACCAAACCCATATTTATTAATCGAACCCATGTAGACAATGAAGGGAAGCTGAATCGCAAGACCGATAAAAGCTTCATCCAAAAAGACATGAGAGCCCTTCCGCCAATTGCGCATGAGCCTAGAATTTTAGAAGGGAGTTACTATTTGTCGCCCTAAAATTTCAAATTCTATCGCCCTAAATTAAAAATTAGACACATTTGTCCCTATTCCCAATTTCTAACCTAACTTTAGATGAATAATCTCGCCGGCCACCACAAATACCGAATTCTACTCCCCCAGTCATCATCTGCCATCGCCCACATCATCAGTCGGGATGAGCAAGCAGAGAGGAGGAGAAGAGAGTAGTCCTACACCCAGCTTCAACACCATCATCTACAACAACTCCATTCTACTCCTCGACTAGAAATCCACTCTGCCGTCCTCCGCTTCTTACTCGACAAGATTCACTTTCTCAGAACTAGAGCTTCAACATGACAGGATATTGGCAGGGATCTTTCAAGAAGCATAAGCAAGAGAAAGGGAATTAACCCTCGCAATGAGGGTCACTGAAAATGCATACAGAGCTCTGTAAATTATGAGCTAAAGAACTTTTGATTAATTGAAAGGAAATGGTCCTTCCAGACAGAAGCGATGAATCAGAAGAGAGAAGAAAACCCAGTTGCAAAATTGATTTATCAACACATGGAGGAACTTATTTTTCTTCTATTACTCCCTCTCCCTACTCACACCCAGATCGGTGAATCCCCCCACAACTTCGCCTACAATTCCACCTTCCAATTCCGATAACAAGAACCAAAAGCACCTCAAATTGGGACTCACAATCACGACCCTTCTTTCTTCTGTGCATGCGTCATGATCTTAGGCTCAACTCAATCAATTTGTGATTAAATTAAGAAGTTTCGATTTGGGATTTAGGGTTTTTTTCTTTGAAGAAGAAGGAGAAAAGGAAGGCCACCGAAGCAGAGCGGTGATGCTGATCGTCAGGCGAGGCGAGCAGAGCAGAGGAGGCCACCGAAGTAGAGCGGCGGCGCTGATCGTGGGGCGAGGCGAGCAGGAGTAGAGGGAGGTGGCAGCTCGTCGGGGAAGACAGACGAAGAGGGAAGCTCTCTAACGTTGGGTGAACTTTAGGGCGATTTATTTTTGGGGCAAAATCGTACATTCAATATAGTTTAGGGCGATTTATTTAAAAACTTAGGGCGTTAAATAGGAATCCAGTTTTAGAATACCATATGTTTTGACGAGGAACGTCTATATAGTAGAGTTAGGATTAGGATTAGGTCAAAACACGGATACACCTCATTGCTCAGACACCACTCCTCTCACCCAAAACCCACCGCCGCCACCGTATGGAACAGAGGGAAACCCCCACTGACGAAGAGCGAGACCGCATCTCGGAATTACCCGACGAGATCCTCCATGACATCCTATCTCGTGTAAAATCCCAAAAATTCGTCGGTAGCGCCACCGTCCTCAGCAAAAGATGGGCCAAGCTCTGTTTCTCGTACCCAACCTTGGAATTCAACGGCAACGATTTCCGATCCAAGGAAACCCTAAAAAGCTTCATCGCTGCAGCCGCTAAGAGGTTATCTTCCTCCCAACACCAAAACAACACCAATTCCGATCTCTTCGCCGTCACGATTAAATTTGACATCAGCGGTTGGATGGGAAACCACAACTCGGACTTCTGCACCACCATCCTTGACGATCTGCTCGGATCCGTCGCCGAGAATCCGCCACAAAAGATATATGTCACAGCATCGCTTTACAGCATCCCACGCGAGTTTCTATTACCCGCTGGCGACGGCCAATTATGTCGAATCAAACATCTCAGCTTGGAGAATTGCAACTTTGACCGCTACGTTGACCTTTTCCCAGACGACAAAAACAACAGGAGCAACCCTTTTGACTGTCTTCGCGGATCCCTCAGAAGGTTGAGCCTCATGAGCGTCAATTTCCCCGACGGCGGCCGGATTCTGAATAGCATGGTCGCCGGCGCCTCCCTCTTGGAGGAATTGACGGTGATGTTTTTTCGAGGGGTTAAGAGGGTTCAGGTTCTGGATCTACCGAACCTGAAAATTTTGAAGCTTTACACCCGTGACAAGGTGGACTTCGATATCGCATGGCCCCACTGTCCATCAAAGGATGGCGCCATGGCGATTGTCTTGACGCCAGATCTGGACAGTCTGAATATCGCATCTGCACGTAAGAGAGAAAATCAATCATTGTTTCCCTTGCTTTGTACAAAACTAGTACTGAATTTTGGTTACTTATTTATGAGATCCCGTCCATTTTGATAGTTGTTTCTAATTCTACTATTTGTCAGGTGATTGTGCATCCGCCAAATGGGACGTTGAAGATTTGATATGGGATTCCCCACTCTTGGACTCGTCAAAAACATCAACAAGGGATTTCTCGAAAGTGTATGACCTGCAGATCGTCAATAACGATGAGTTAAAGGAAGTCAAATTGAATTCATGGAACTATTCGATTAGTCTCTCTGACATAAGATTCCTTCCATGGGTTAACCTTCATTTCTTCCCTACAATCTTAAGTAAGGATGACAAATCCTTTGCCTTGGTGACCATCCACACCCCACTCTCCAGACTCCATTTTCATGATTTGGGGAAGCTTCTTGCGAAGCTAAGCCAATTCTGGTTGAGTGTACAACTCATACATGAGTTTCCAAATGGTTGGGTATGTGAGCCTCTGATTAATATTATGGTTCATCAATTAGGGTTTGAGATCGTCATTCTATTTAGAAACTAACACATTGTTATATGGTATTGTGACTGTTGTGTTTGCTTATTTGATTAGTTGTTTATTCTTTGCAGGAGGAAGATGTGGATCAATGTGGAGATGTTCAGTCTCCAATCATTGAACATGTGATAATTTCACATCGGTCTTTGTCATCGTGCAATAAGAAGGAATTCTTTTTAGATACCATATTCTATTGTTGTCGCCCTAAATTTTTATCTTTTACTCCGAGGATATATAAACTGTCCAGAGAAAATATGTTATCAGTTGGTGAGGTACGTAAGCGTTGGAATCGTTTGCTTAAATGTAACGCTTTTCTCTACATATTTGCTCTTGGTACATTCTCCTTGAACGAATACATTCCTTTCCGTAGTATTGATGATTTCTTGTTTCTTGGATTTTACAGTCTATACAACAGCTCTTCATGAAAAGAGAATTCAATGATCGTTGTCATGTCAAATGCAATTGCTGGCGCCATCGATTGGAGGATGTCAAAATCTTACATAGAAGTATAAAAGGAAGCATTAAAGAGGACAAAGTTATGAACATTTCAGATTTTATGTTTTCATCTCTTAGTCAACAAGATAAAATCTGGTTTGTTTTGATCTGGCGTTAAATTCTTATGGCTTGTACGTAGCTCTATTTCTCTAGTCAAGGTGATATTTATTGGTGAAACTTATTTGTGTTCTCATGTTAATATTTGTCATTTTGTCTAGTCATTAGTGATTTTCATGAAGTTACATCTTAAATTTTTGGCTTCACCTATCTTGTTTGCGTCTAAGTCTTTTGCGAGCAAAGACCATAATTATTGTGACATTTTCTCGCTCTTATATGATTTATCTATAAGGATATCTACGACAAAAATAATTTTTTTTTGACAAAGAAGTACATTTGATATAATTGAATAATGCTTCAATCAAATACAAGACAAACTGAATTATGGAGCAAATAAATTGACCAAACCAAAGCTGTTATCATCCATTTTTACTTTTTTTTTAATCCATTTACCGTCCTCAAAAGCAATTTGGTTACATTCCAAATTGAAGCCGGTCGATTCAACAAAGCAAAGTGGTAAGGCATGTCTTCGATGTGTACACTAATCCTGAGCTTATTCGAGCTGAAGGTTAGCCATCTAGCAACAATCAAAAGGAAGCCATGTTATGTTCAGAACAGAAGGGTTTTTCCTTGAAATGTTTTCTATACACCAAGCTTTCCGAACAACCAAATCTTTCGTTCGTCAACATCCATTGCAACAAAAGCCTCGGCTTTCTCCTCATCTTCCAACGCTCCACAGGCATCCAAAAACACAACATCGTTCATTCCTAGTATTTCATGCAGAGCATCAACTATCGCCTCAGAGGTCAGAGCTCCGCGTCCACCATGAGCTAACTCTACTTGCTTGCCCCCAAGCAGTTTTTATTAGAGCAATACGAATAACATTCCGTTGCAGACAATCAGTATCTTCGTACCTTGGACGGGCTCCTTCAGTGCCGAGAGGAGAAGTGGAAGAAAGTGAGGTATCTATCAAGCATGGAGAGAAAAGGCAAACGGATCTTCTGGATCAGTCGACGATAGCGAAAGATGATTGGAGAATCGTACAGTGGCTGGGACGGCAGGAAAATGGCGCCTGGCGCTGGGAGAAAGAAGATTTTTGGTGGAAAATGGAAATAACAAAGTGAAAAATGGAAATACTGAAGGCCCGCAGAGGCTGGGGCTTGAATTGGCTGACGGTGCGGGCCTGTGCAACACTTGGCGGGCCTCTAGGTTTTCTTTGTTTTGTAGGCTGATCATTGAGAAATTGTAAAATGGCCCGGCCCATTCACAACCAGGAACGTGCGCACTGCAGAAAACGCAGCAAGTAACCCGCAAAACCAGAGCCTCGGGAAGAGAGAGAGAGAGACGGGGAGGCCGACCGAGAAAACAGAGCAGCGCGAGGAGAGAGCCATGGAAAATGGCGATCGACGATGACGAAGACGGACAACGGCGAGGAAGAAGGATTCGCGGAATTCATTACCTTCGCGCATCCTCCTCCGTCGCCGAATCCGGAAACCGTCATCTCCGAGTTCCTCGGCACGGCCGCCATGGCTTCCAATTTCGACGACGATGACTGGGGTGATTTTGTCAATTCCTCCGGAGGCGTATTATCACAAACGACGTCGCTCCCGCAGGTTCTCAACCATTCTGAACTATTCGGAATCTATAACGACGGCAAGCGTGACGATGATGCGCCGCCGAAACAGACGGAGGATCAGCCTGGGTCAGCTCCTGGTCTGACGAAGTCTTCGGGAGCTCTGCCTCTTTCGCTGTTTGGAGAAATGGAGGAGGACGGAGGAGGAGCAGGAGAACAGAAAGGGAGTTCGGTTGCCGATTTTCCCCCGAGCGAGAATGCGGAGTTCGTGAAGAAGACGGGTAATCTAGATGTTAACGATTTGATTGCTAATTTATACAAGCCGAACGGGATCGGAGCAGGCTCTGTCCCGGCAAGTAATGGAAATCTAGGCGGGGCGAATCCGATTGGATTGGATCCGAGTTGGAGCTGGGGGAATGCGTCTGCTATGGGGAATGGGGCGAGTTCGATTTCGAAGCTAGCGAGCACGGACTCGGATCCGTTGAATATGAATTCAAATGGGTGGAGAATGAGCGGCAATTCTGGTTCGGTTGTGCAAGGGTCGGATTTGAGCTCAGATGCGATGAGCAATGGTTCCAATGCGGCGAATGGGAATGGAGGGTTTGATGAGGAAGGTGATGATGATGATGGTTGGGAATTCATGGCCGCTGAATCCAAAGTGGAAGATAACGTCAAGGTGACTTGAATATCTCCCGAGTTGTTTTTTTCTGAACGGTGATACCTTTTTGGCGTGTCTAGGTTGCAGTTCTCATTCTATAGGTTAAGAGTACTGATAGTTTCAGGGTATTGGTTTCATCGTTTGTCTTCTGTAGAAAAGAAATACTTGCTACTTCGCCTTATCTTCCATGTCTTTTGATGGTGTATGTTTCTGTGGATCGATGACAGCCAGAGCAGATGAAGAATCAGAATGGGACGACTTTTCATCGCAGTGAGCTGAACTCTAGTTGGAATGAGGTCAATTTGGACTTTTCGGGATGGAATACGAGTGCCAATGGAGTTGATCAGAATGGCTTGAATAATGGCCCAGTTACTGAAAGGAAAGAGCTTGCTAGAAATGATGCTTGGGAGTTTGTTGTTGCAGGTGCCCCAGACGAGAAAATCAAGGTAGATTGGGTTTTTATTTTGTTTTACTTGATACTCTCTTTTCCGGAGGATCCCAGCTAGCTTGGGTCTTGGAGATGAATGTATATATGGACTTGTTTCAGAAACTATGATTTGTTGCACTAGTCCTTCCCTTTCAATTTTTCTATTTGGCATTGGATGGAAATTAGAATTCTTATGTTCTTTGAATAAAGGGTTTATATTAGTTGTTTTGCGGGAAATTTCAGAATGTTGATTCAATATCAGAGGATGTCTCGAAGATGAATCTTAAGAGCTCTAATTTAAGTTGGGATCCACCGCAGCGTCCAGATTCTAATGGCTTGGCTTCAAGCATAGGTGGAGTGAACGCTGATGTGATAAGTGTGAATCCTGTATTATTGGATGAAATTGATGGGTTTGCTGATTCGGATGGTTGGGCCTTCAAGAAAGCAGAATTAGACTTGCAAGTAAGATAGATATGCTAGTTAAATGTGCGACTCTAATTGATGATGTTTCTATCTGTCCGTCAAGGAAATTTGGTAACCTTGATTTATTAACATCTTAAATAAATGTAGTATAACAGTAGAAGCAAAATGTCTGTTTACCTGAATCCTTATTAAAAAGAAGTGTCTTGTTTCTGCAAGAACTCTTGTAGGTGCTCCTCATTGAAGTAGTTGATTGCTAGCTGTAAAATAATAGACGTTAGCATCGCAAGTTAATAATTGTTTTGCTATTTGATTTCCTGCCTTTCTTATTATAGTGTATCCCGATTAAACTGCAAGAAATGTAAAGGTTTCTCATTTTGTAATACAATTGCTACTCAATTTGTTCAGGATGCGGCAGGGAAGATGGAAAATGGCCCACAAATGCAATCTACTATATTTGATTCAAGGCTGGATATTTCCGACTTGGATGGTGGTGGTGGTGTGAATCCAAACCTGTTTGCTACCGACTGGAATTCGAAAGAAGAGATTTCAGATACAAAACAGTTGAACCCAATTGTAGTCACTGAAACCGAGGATCTTGAGGGTGGGGACGACTGGGAATTCAAGGTTGCAGAATCAGAATCAATGTCCATTGATTCGAGTAGTAAGGTAATACAAATGCTGTAGTTGATCTCTTCTTTTTTTTTTTTTTTTTTTTTTGGAGTGAGATCTCTTCTTGTTTGACCTGTTACATTTGTTTTATCTTCTTCTTGATAATTGTGAAGCAGAAAAGAATTAACTGATTCCAGCTTGCCTTTTTGGCTAGTACTAGGATATGGTGGTTGCAGATATTCCTTGTTGCTTGATAGCTTAACAGGCTGTTGTCACAGGGAAGGGACTATATGCAGAAGCTGTCTCCCTTTCCCTATTTTTGGGCTTGTCTGAACTTGTTTGGGATTGTACTTTCTTTTGTTTAAGTAATTGAATAACATATGTCATCATTAAAAAAAAAAATCTCTCTTCTTTCTGGTGACATCGTTCCCTTTTTGGCACAGGCTATTGAAATAACGCATAGCGACAGCCAAGGAGCCCTGCCTCTGTCACTTTTTGGCGATGAAGAAACAGAGCCCAATGATCCCGTCTTCTATGAAGTCACTTCAGTTCAGATTTCTGCTCCAGAAACAAGAGAGGAAAATAAGGGTTTTAGTTCCGGTCTCTCTATTCATGATCTAATATCAAGTTTATACAGTGAAGTTGAGCAAACGGCTACGGTCGGTCACTTACAAGATCAGGATGAAAATGGATGGGGCTCCACAGGGATTGCATTGGCTTCCAATTCATCAAATGATGCTGCAAGTTTGGATGATGATGATGCCTGGGAGTTCAAAGATGCCTCTCCAGTACCCATGGCCGAGGAGCAAATATCTTTTCCGAAAGGTCCTCCAATTAAGGCCAGTAACATAGAGCTTTCTGATTGGATAGACTTATTTACCAAACTGAAGGAAGAATTATGTCTGATTGGATTCCAACATCTTGAAAATATGAAGGTTGGTGGACTTGCTAAACGTATCCCAATTCCCAACACCATTCCCTCGAAAAAGTTGAACTCTTTTCTTTTGAAGGATTACTTACAAGTGGCTGGATTTTGAATTTTTATTAGCAAGCTCGTGGTGCTGCAGCTCTTGCTGGTGAGGATGCTGATTTAAGTAACATGGATAAGGAAATACAGGTTGGTGGCATCTCTATTTCAGTGAAAGCTTAAATAGCGATGAATTGGTGAGAGATTGCTGCGATTTGGGAGCATATGTTATCATGCTCTTAAAATTTCTTCCTTTGCCGTTTCTCTTCCACCTTCATCCGTGTCCTTTCATTTCTCCCGCATTGGGTGGATATGCAACACAGTACGAGAGTGACTTTTGTGTGTTTTCTTCTGTCTGCTATTGTAGGATATGCATAATGGACTGCTCGAATACGGCACTGTTCCCGAAGTTCATTCAGGAGATCAGTTGCTATGTGAAATACGAACCCGTGAATTGTTTGAACTGTTGCTACACCCAAAGTTTCAAGTCATTGAGTCAGAATATCAGTTATCAGAAAAACTGTTGAAGGTAAGTCACAATACTTGTTCTTTTTCTTTGAAAGAACAATTGATGTTAGAGTTAGGGTTTGAACATACTTATCCTTGGTAAGCAATAAGTTTGCTATCACATGTAAACAATATGGTAAAGCTCAACCTGGTTACATAGCAAGTGACAGTCTCTTACTTTTGTTTCTAGAAGTTTGAAGATCCCTTTTCCAGTTAGGTTTGGTTAGATTGTTTTGACTAGTCTAAACTATTATTTCATTATGTTGATAGGTTCAGAGCGACTCAAATTCTACACTCCTACTTCTCAAGAAGGTGGTTTCAGTGATGAAGATTTTGACCTTATTATCTAGACAGGAACAAACTAGTTACTTTTCCACATGGTCTAAGATGCTCTATCAATGTGCCGAAGAGCTGAAACACGGGTCAATGATTTGGAGCCACTTGCTGCAAGAAAACATCCAAGGTCAAGTTCTCTCAAACGTTGAAGGTATAATAACAAGAATCTTGTGAGAAACTGAATTCAATGATTGTTGTGAGTGCTCAAAGTTCATTTATCAAATACAGGAAAGAGATATTTCCTTGCTCTTGGAGAAATTTACAGAGTTTCTGAAGTTCTTCGATGCACTGCCCGGCTTTATAAGCCGTGGATATTGCTGGAACGGACTGACTCCATATCCATCTATTCCATCATGAACGAGTGTTCTGCTCTATGGTCAAGCTCAGGACTGGAAGAAGCTCTCTTAAGCATTTCTGATGGTTCTGTGAAGGCATTACTGGAATCTGTTCAATATCTTCATAATCTCGAGGATGATACACTTTACGAGATTGTGTTCTCCGGACAAGGCTACACCTGTCAACTCTCAGGTCTTAATCCAGGAGTAGTGCCAGGTAAGCATGATTTCGTGTATATTCTAAGATTAAGCTACTAGAGATTAAAGTTGGAGACTCCTCCAATCATTTGAGTTTCGAAGCTGACATTGCTATTCTGTTCTTACATGCCTTTGGCAACGTCTGTTTAACCAGTTTGTTGTCTCTCAACAGGGATGGAAACCATCGTCTGGAACGGGAGCCATTACTTTGTCAAGCTTGCTAACTTATGGGCTAATTTGATAAGTTGCGATCCGCCAAATCTGCCTCGCTTGCACGTCGGATGATGATGACCATTGCAGAGATTTAGCGCAGACGTGCAGAGATGATGATTATTCTTTAGCAGAGACTACCCACTGAAAGCAGTCATGGCGCCGTGGGTGAGTGCTCGAGCCGCGGTTACCCCCCTGCCTGCAACGATTGGTCTTCGAGGAAGTCAAAGAAAGAAAGAACGGAGTATTCTCAATCCAAGCTTGCCGTGTGTTGCATATCGCCATATGAATCTCGTTTGAGAAAAGTCAGGCAAGATATCTCTGAAGCCTCCCATTCACAATTTTTCCCCGCCCCTTTTAAGTGTTGTCCATTCTTTGCACAGAGCGCAAGCTGTAACATAGAAGCTTTTGGGTTTGTAGCCCCCAATTTGCCATGCCCAAGACCTTTGGGGGAGGGGTTGTTTGCCCTTGGGATTTAAGGATGTATTCCTTTTCCTATTTCCATGTTGTATTGTTTAAAAAAATGGGCCTGTAATATTTGGAATAAAAATATCTCGATATTGTTGCTTTTGAAATGAAGAAATTACTATAAGTTTGATTTCTTCCTTTCATTTTATTTTTTTTGGGTTATAGGTATAATATGCCCTTCTACTATGATGTTTTATCAAACATGTCTTTTTACTATTTTTTACATCAAACATGCCCCTGTACATTGTAAAAATTATCAAAGGGTTATAGGTGTAATATGCCTCTCTACTAATGACGTTTTATCAAACATGCTCCTCTACTATTTTTTACATCAAATATGCCTGTACTTCGAAAAAATTATCAAACATGCCCTTCTGTTAAAAATTTCATTGAAAAAATCGTCAATCGTGGTTGAACTGAGATTTAGACGACTCGACATCGACAAATGGGAGGAAAAATGTCAGTTTTGTCCCTTGTTTTATTTCCTTTGGCCTTTTCAAAGTGAAATTATTTGAATGATTTGATTAAACAAAAGAACCAAAAAGATTCTAAAGTGAATTTATTAGGGATATTTTAGTCATTTGGGTCGCCCAAACTAAAGTTCGGCGTTGGTTAACGATTTTTGGATTAAAATTTTAACAAAAGGGCATGTTTGATCATTTTTACAAAGTACATGGACCTGTTTGATGTAAAAAATAGTAAATGGCATGTTTGATAAAACGTCATAGTAGAGGGGCATATTATATCTATAACCCAATTATCAAACATGCACTTTTGTTAAAATTTTCATACAAAAATAATTAATCAACGCCGAACTTTGGTTTGGACGACACACATGTCTAAAATATCCCTAATAATTTCCTTTAGATTTTTTTGGTTCTTTTGTATAGCCAAATAATTTCACTTTGAAGAGACCCAGAGAAATAAAATGGGGGACAAAACTGATATTTTCCCTCCTAGATGCCAATGTCGAGTCATCTAAATATCGGTTCAACCATGATTGACGACTTTTTCAACGGAATTTTAGCATAAGGGCATGTTTGATAATTTTGTCAAAGTATAGGGGCATGTTTGATGTAAAAAATAGTAGAAGGGCACGTTTGATAAACCGTCCTAGTAGAGGGGCATATTATATCTATAACCCTTTATTTTTTCGTCGAATCGGTTGATCTTTATTATTAGCAAAGAGAAAACAAAGTCTCATGAGAAAGACTTACTACTACTACCAACTCCAAAATACTGGAACTGACTGAATATGTAGGAGGTTGTTTCAAAGGTGGGATTAATACATGTAATCAGAAAAATTCGTTAATTTTTTTTTAATCTTAAAATGAAATGGAATACATGTATTTAAGTAGAAGATGGAATCACTAGAATCATTTATTATAAATGATTGTCAATCTCATTATAGATGCTGGTCCGATTTGGCTGCCTCCCCATCTTACGCCCAATCAGCCCCTTTCCCCCCTTCCGATTGAGTCCACCCTTTCCCTTCCTTGCCCAACCCATACCCCTCCCCTTAGAGTCCAACCACTCTTCCTCCTCCACTCTCTCCTTGATCTCTTTAGCCTTGCCTCCCCGTTGTTCTCTCCAGGTCGATCCCTACCCAGTTTCTATCTTCTCCTTGGATCTGATTCCATCACCCTTTCCGTTCCCTCTTCAGCCGCTTACCTTCATTTCTCCGTAACCCTCCCTACTCGTAGATCATGTCCGCTTTGCCCAACCCTCCCTTTTAACCTTTGATACACCACCGCAGAGACCCTTCCCGTACCTAGTGTTGAGGTACCTCTGTCCTACTCCGAGCCAGTTCCCCTTCCCTCCCCACCCCTTTCCCCCCATCTCCTCTTCCCCTTCCCACTCTCCCTCTTTAACCCTCGATTCCCCTGAATCTACCTCTGGCCGAGCAAGGGACTTTGACCAGGGCGTTGACACCAATCCGCTGGCCATGGTGCTCTTCCAGCCTATTAATGATGCTTACTTCAAGGATTGGCGAGCGGAGCAGGATCTGAGGTCGATTATTTCAGCTGGTAGGACACTTCATCGATTTCTGAACTTCTCTCCTGAGTTCAGCAGTGATAAGGTCGATAGTCAATTTGAGGATTTGGCATTCTCATTCAAATCGAAGAAGAAAAGGACTTCCAGATCGAAGTTACAAATGGAGATTCATCGTCTTGGAACCTTGAACTCGGTCATGACCAAGTCGCGACGGAAGAAGGGTCCGAGCGGTAACAGCAAAAGTGGAATTCTCGCCTCTTTCCCAATGAACGACTCTATCCTTGCGTGGAATGTCAGAGGTTTGGGTGACTCTGATAAAAGAGCTAGACTTAAACCCATTATTCGTCAGTGTCGCACTGTTGTGGTCGGCTTGATTGAAACTAAGTGGAATTAGTGCTCTCAATTTATCATTACGTCGGTTAGTGGAAGCAGAACGGTGGTGTGGGCCGCTTAGAATGCTACTGATTCGAGGGGTGGTATTGCTGCCTTCTGGGAAACCTCTGAGTTTAGTCTGTTGGACTACTGGGAAGGCCGTTTCTCGCTAGCCATCCGTCTTCGGATTGTTCGCTCTCATAAAATCCTTGCCATTCGTCTATGGCCCCCATGATAGGATTGCAAAGCTGGCTTTCTTATCCGAAATTGATTTTATTTGTCGTAGGTACAATGATCCCCTTTGATTTGTGGGTGATTTTAACCTAGTCAGATCTGAGGATGATTACCGGGGTGCTCCTCGTTGTAGACTGATGATGGCAGAGTTCAATTCCGTGTAATCGTAATGCCTTCATTAATCTCCCCCTGCAAGGCGTCGCCTTTACTTGAAGCAGTGGCGATTCCAGCCGTGCTTATCTCGTATCGATCGAGCTTTGGTTAACACCAGGTTTGAAGATACCTTCTCCCCGGGACCTCTGCTGGATTTTGAGCATCTTGAGTCTGATCATAACCCCATCCGTGTACATTGGGGATCGTCAGAGCGTGTTTGAAGACCCTGGCGGTTCAAGAATATGTAGCTTCTTAAGCATTCATTCTTAACGCAGCTCGTTGGTTGGTGGAATGTCCCAGTTTCCGGTTCGGGGCTCCTTTTTCGTGCTAGCTAACGCCTAAAGTAGAGTAAGATGCTCATTAAGTCTTGGAATACAGAAGTTTTTGGCAGAGTTCAGCTCAAGATTGAATCTCTAATTAAAAAGATTAATGAGATTGATACTCTTGAAGAGGCTGGACCTTTATCGGAGGCTCAGTTTATTGCGATGAGCTTGTGGAGGTGCGACCTGGATAAAACCTTTCTTATGGAAGAGATTTCTTGGCATCAGAAGTCCCGGGAGTTGTGGTTAAAGGTTGGGGACAAGAATTCAGGTTTCTTTCACCGTATCGCAAATAGTAATTGCCGGAGAAACACAATCCAGTTTTTGAAAGTGGGCGAAGAGATGGTTTCTGATAAGGAGGGTATCAAGCTTATTTTCGTGGATCACTTTCAGGATAGATTCTCCGAGCAGGTGCCTTTCAGGCTGTTCCCTTCCGATTTCAAACGGAATCTCCTCAATCACGAGGATAATCATTCCCTTGCACTTCCTTTTCGGGAGGCTGAGATTTGGAGAGCTGTGTGCTCTTGCGGGCGGGACAAAGCTCCCGGCCCGGATGGTTTCACTTTGCGTTTCTTCTAGAAAGCTTGGTCCGTGGTGAGAAGCGACATTTGTAAGGCTCAGGACAAGTTCTATATCACAAGCTTTATTCCAGACTCAATGTCTCAACCCCAAAAAGACCTCTGCGGAGGAAGTGAAAGATTATCGCCCCATTAGCCAGGTTGGTAGCCTGAATAAAATTATCTCCAAAGTGTTGTTCCATCGCCTGCAGCCTTTTATGAGTCGAATCATCTCTCGTCATCAGTTCTCAGGATTACGTAACAAGCAAATTCATGAAGTTTCCCTTATAGCTAATGAGTTGGTGGATAGTAGACTCAAGAGCGGTCGTTTGGGGATCATTTTCAAGCTGGACATCAAAAAGGCGTTCGACTCCGTCAACTGGAGCTGCCTTTTTAATGCCTTGTCCAACTTGGGACTTTGCCAGCGATTCTGTAAGTGGATTAGAGGGGTCGTTTGCCATTCAAATCTTTCGGTTCTCGTTTGCGGAGAAGCAAGGGGCTTCTTTAATATGCAGAGAGGATTGAAGCAAAGAGACTCTCTTTCTCCGTTCCTGTTCAGTTTGGTTATGGATCTTTTCTCCTTCATTCTACAAATTTCTCATGACTCTGGTCTCATTGAGGGGTTCTGCTTGGATGACTCGAGCAGAGCTGATGGTGTGAATCATCTCCTTTATGCCGACGAAGCCATCGTTTTTTGTGATGCCACGAAAGAAGCAGTTATCAACTTAGTTGCTGCCCTTATTTTGGTTTCAAACCGCGAATGGTCTTAAGGTTAACTTCAGCAAAAGCTTCCTCTTCCCAGTTGGAGATGTTGATAACATTGATCCTCTCGCGAAGATTTTGGGATGCGAGTGGAGTTTTCTATACACTGATTACTTAGGTCTTCCTCTTGGAGCTGCACCATCCTCTACTACTGTTTGGAACAAAATCGTTGATAAAGTGGAGGGATGGTTGGCGGGGTGTAGGGGGAAATATCTGTCAATGGGGGAAAGGATCGTTCCTTGCAACACCGTTCTTACCACTCAGACTAACTAAATGTTCAGTTTGTTCAAAGCCCTTGAGTAAGGTCGTTTATCTGGTCTGATGTGGGCGAGGATAAGAAGATCCATCTCGTGGCTTGGGATAAATGCAAATTGCCGAGAAAATTGGGTTATCTTGGCATTGCGGACCTGAGACTTAGAAATCAGGCTTTGTTACTTAAATGGTGGTGGAGGTTCGTGGTGGGAAGGAATGCGTGGTGGCGAGGGATGATTGCTCAAAAGTTTCCTAATCCTTACTCGCAGTGGTCTACATGTTCCCTTAGGGGGCGCATTGGTTGCAATCCTTTGGCTGTTATCTCGAAGCTCGGAACTGATTCCTGGAAATTTGCTCATGTTGACCCGGGGTCGGGTTATGACACGTCCTTTTGGTTTGATGTTATTCTCAAAGATCGCTCTCGCCCCTTGACATAGGAGTTCCCTCGGGTTGTCGCCGTCTCCGCTACACCAAACTATTGCACCACTGACCTGTGGAGAATTTCTAGGGGAAGTCTTTCTTGGTTTCTTTCCATTTCTCATAAACTTAGGGGAGGGGATGAGAGTGAGAGAGTTAGTCTGTTAAATTTACTCAATAATATCTCTATACCAAGCTTTACCGTAGGACCTTCAAGAATTGTTTGGGATCTCACTCAGGTTGGAGGATATAGCACTCACTCTTACTACACCGAGATGGTCAAGGATAATGATCTTGCGGACCCAGAGTTCCCATTCAAAACTGTTTGGAAATCTGTCATCCCTCTTAAAGTTTGCACCTTCATCTGGACTGTTTATTATCGCAGAATCCTTACTCAAGAGGTGCTAAAGAAAAGAGGCTGGTTTTTCACCAATCGATGCGTCATGTGCGGAAGCAGCGAAGAAACTTTGGACCATCTCTTCCTCACATGTAGCTTCAGTCGAGAAGTCTGGTACATGATGAAGACTTTTGTCAGGATCAACACCCCCACCCAGGAAATTTCGACGGTGATTAAGCTCTGGCCGTGCAACTCGTCTCACAGCGCTGCTGAGTGGTGCACCAGAGTCTTTTTACATGCCTTTTGCTGGCGTATCTGGCTGAAACGCAACTCCAGAATTTTCTGAGATCTGTATGCTTCACCATGCGTGGTCTCTTTTGCGATTGCTAGGTGCGTTTTGGACTGGCTTTGTTCTGGTAACAAGGTTGAGAGAAGTGCCTCTCATATGTGGCTTCAAAATGTCAAGGCTCATCTTCTTCCAAGGCCCAGCCCGATACCGCTGCATGACTGATTTTCCTATTTGTTTGTTTCATCTGTGTTTCACTGTTCGTGAGGTCATTTGTGCTGATGATGTTGTTGCTTTTCTCCACCGTTTTCTACCTCTTTGCTGGATGTCGTCGTTTGGCTTGTTTGTTGCAGGGGAGTCTTGTCGGGTTGCCCTTGCTAGGCACCCTTGTGTTTTACTGAAGTTCGTGGTGTTTGCGGTTTTTTGTTGAGGGGCTGCGTTGGCGTTGGTCCTTGGTGCCATTTTCCCCTTGCATCTGGTGCCTTGGCAGCTACTGGTGACAGTTCTGTATGTTTTTGGTCTCTTCGATCGTTTTCCCGTTTCGTCTCTTTGGCCTTTTCTGAGTGTTTGTTTCCACTCTTGGTTTGGTTATAGTCGGGCCTCGTTTGTGAGCCCTTCTTTCTTTCTTTTCTCTGTCTCTCCCCTTTGTAATTTTGGACAGCTTAATTTAATCTATTTCACCCTTATAAAAAAAATCATTCATTCATCACTCGTGCTCTTTCCTTCTCTTTCTCGAGTTGTAGGTTTAGATGATTTATGTGGGTGCACTTTCTCACCAATATTAAGTTCAATGGTTGAGCAGGGTTCATATTCCGCTGCCTTTGACTCTTTAATGATGGAGTGGACTAGTTAGTATAACAATAGTCCTTTTGTTGTTAGGGTGACAACACTAGTCTCCAATCAATAGGAAGCTAGAGTTGTGATAACTTTTATTAGTTAGGTTGACCTAGTGTAAAATCAAAGCAACGATATAATTATCATTATAAATATTATGTTTAAACAATAATAACAAATTGTAAATTATAAATTATAAATTATTTTATGCCCAAATTTTGTTCACCGATCATTGAAATATACTTAGTGTCGCCAGAATATGTTCACCGCTAGGGGTGGGCATTCGGTTGGTTCGGTTCAAACCGAACCAAAATTATGCATACCGGGACCCCGAATTTTATCAAAACTCAAACTGAATTCAAACCGAATTATCGGTTCAAATCGAATTATAATTTGGTTTGGTTCGGTTTTTCATGTAAAACCGAACTTGTGAGGTTAACTTGTATCTTCTCACTTTTAAATTATTTTTCACCCCTAATGTAAACAATAAATATGCATCATCAATGATAAAATAAAACATTTCAACACATAAGTCATAAAACACTAACATGATTCAAATATTTAAGTCTCATGATAAGTAGAAACATAAAAATCCATCATTTGAAACTTGCAATTATAAAAATTCATTTTTTGGTTCGAAATTCAAAAATTCGGTTTGGTCGAAAGAACCCTGGTTTCCAAAATATGCCATTTTCTCTTCCGAATTCCTAACCGAATAACATTAATTCGGTTTCGGTTCGGTTTATATTCGGTTTGGTTTTACCGAACCGTATGCTTACCAGCGTCAGAATCTCATCATCAGGACCAGAATATGCCTATCGGCGTCGAATTCCGGTCACCAAAGGTCATCGGAGTTTCGTCAATGGTCTTTGTTGACCGGTCAATTTCCACCATCGAATATTATGGTATGCATTTTTAGATTTATGGTTTGGTTTTCTCATGTTTTTTGTTGCCAGCTTTATCGTATCTGTGGTTTGCATTAAGAAGTTTATGGTGTGCTTTTGAAAATTTTGTGGTTTTCTTTGTGAGGTTTCTAGTTTGTTTTAACTGATTTGTGGTCTGCATTAGGATGTTTTTAGTTTGCTTTTTGTGGTTTGCATTATCGTGTTTGTGGTTTGCATTATGAGATTTCAGATGTGCTTTTGAAAATTTTGTGGTTTGCTTAGTGTGGTTTCTGGTATATTTTAGGGGAATTGTGGTCTGCATTAGGAGGTTTCTGGTTTGCTTTTTGTGGATTGTTTTTTCATAGTTGTGGTCAGCATCAGGGTGTTTCTGGTGTGTTTTAGAAATATCTGTGATTTGCTTTGTGATGTTTCTGATATGTTGTGGTGTTTCATATACATGTTCACCAGACGAGGCACTCCCAACATTGAACCACGTAAAAGAAATGTTCATCCACATATTATAAACAGTAAAAATATTCGAGGTAATCATCCTGCGGTAAGTCATGCCTCAACAATATACCAAAGCACTGAGAGGAGGAACATACCCACAGAGATCTTAATTTTTACCATCATAATTCAAAACCTTGGAACACAGTGGTAACAGTTATACATATACTCCCTAGAAATCGGTTCAAAAATCACAAAAGTAACCCAATTTATTCCTTCCTTCTCCTTCTAACTGATTCAGGCCCAAATGTACACATTTTACCCCTAATTTCGTATTCCTTTAATTTAGTATTTCATCGTTCCTCGACATATTTCACACTAGGTTGTGCTTATTTTGATACATTTCAGGTTCTAGCACGTGTGGAACTGTGGAAGGGTCGATGACGAGTTTTGAGATAATTGGAGGTCAAAAAAGCGTAAAAACCAAAGAAAAGTCTGAAGACCGTGACAATTGCCTCGTAACAGTGAAGTGAAGGCGTCCAGGAAACAGCCGCAGTTCACGGTCGGACAAGGCTGTTGAAGGTCTCCTAAGACTGTGAACATGGACCACAAACCGTGAACACCGCGGTGTCCAGCGAGGTTCCAGAAGTTACTGACGACAAGGCAGTTCACGGTCTCTAAAACCGTGCACTGAGGCCATTGACCGTGAAACCAGGAGAGTGAAGCTGTGCGTTTTGGACGACACTGAGTTCACGGACGCGTTTAGGTATTCACGTTCGTGAACTGCCAATGCGTCCGTGAACTGGTCACTTTCGGGCAAATATGAAGACAACAACGGGGAGAGAGAAAGGGGAGAGCTGGTTTTTTGAGAGAAATTCAATTCCCTTTCTAGGGTTTGCCCAAAAACACCAAAGGGGAGTTCTAGTGAGAGAGAGTGCTAGAGTGATCTTGGAGCATCATTGGAGGCTTAGGTGGATCTTGAAGACAAGGATTCAAGCCTAATAGAAGAAGAAGATCTTGAGCTCAAATTTGTAATCCCTCTCTTCTCTAGAAACTCACTCTTTTCTCTTGGGTGTTGTAGATCCCTAACTAATACTTTGTAATTACTTGTTTAGATTGAATGGTTTTGTATGGGATTGCAGCAATTTGAGTATTAGAGGTGTTTTCATGGTGATTGTGCTTAGTTGTGCTTTCCAAATCTTGTGTGCTTGCCTAACCTAGATTAGAGGAAAACCACACTTTTTAGGTAGGCTTGACAAGTTTGGTTTTCCTGGGCACTTTGTGCCTACTATCTAGGTTAGAAATGAGCATCCCCCTTGACTCAAGTTTGCATCTAGGTTGGTCGTGATTAAGCCGCTCAAACTCCAGTTTGAGGGAGAGACCTAGACAACCCCTAGAGAAGGGATGACAACAAAACCCGAACCACCGGGTACCCACCCGACCCAACCCAGTCAACGCGGGTAAAATCCGTGTTGACGGGTTTTGGGCCGGGTTTGGGTTTAAAATCGTTCACTATTCACCGGGTTGGGTTTGGGTTAGGTAAACCCGCCCCATGGGGTTGCCCACACCCATATAATTAATTTTTCCGGTATGTATAATATTCTAAACAACTAATCTTCTTTTATGTTTGTGGAGACATGTCTAATTTTTTCTTTCTAATTGTGTAGAATGAAGTTGATATTATCGAGTAGAGAGTGAAGAAGCTAAATTGACAAGGAGGAAAAAGCTTCAATTAAGCATGTTGTTTATGGATAATTTGTGATTTGCTTCAATTTTCTTGAGTTTTCTAGATTGGTGTTTAACAATTTGTGTGGTTAATTTGTGATTTGCTAAAATTTTCTAGAATGGTGTTTTATATATGGATAATTTGTATTGAGAGATTGATATTTTACTTTTATTTTGATAGGAACTTGTTATTGTAAATTTTTTACAACAAAAACCCATGGGTACCCATGAACCCGCGGATACCCAGCGGGTTGGGTTGAGTTTGAGTTTTTCGAACGCGGTGGGTTTAGCCCGTTTTTTTTTCACGGCTAAACCCATGGGTTTGGGTTTGGCAAAACCCGACCCATTGCCATCCCTACCCTAGAGACTGAGTCACAGGATCGATTCCGTGACAAATCGATCTCTAGTGAATCCATCCCGTGACAAATGGATCACTAGTTGCTCCTCCTAGCAGTTCCCTAGTCGTGAGTGGATCGATCCCGTGACAAATCGATCGCTAGTGAATTGATTTCGTGACAAATCGATCACTAGTTTCTCACCCTCGCGGTTCACAACCACCTACACCACACGACTCCATTCAATCCAACGAGTCCTGGTAGCTAGTTAGGGGGAAGCAACTTCTGGGTGAAGCTCCCTTAGTTAGAATTTTCCTTTACTTACTTTTCTTTGCTTGTTTAGTTTGTAGTTCCATTAGTTCTAAACCCAAAAGTTGCTTGCTAGATAACAACCTAAGAGATTGAAGTAGGGGTACATGGATCGGCCCGGGTTGATAATTAAAACTTACCTGGTCTATGCTGCACTCCTAGACTTTAAAAACTTGGGCTCTAGAGGGGGTTTCTAGCGTGGTGTTTTGTGTGAGTCACTCACTATTTAATGGAGAAAGAAAAGAATCACTAATAAAGAGAGGGGATGCGCGGCATCGGGGGTTCAGAGCAGAGCCACCAGCCTGCAAACGTTGAAGAAGAGGTAACGATCCGAACAAAGGCAAAGCTTTGCGCCGAAAGTGGCGGTTAGGTTTCTATAGCTTCTAATATGGTGGATTGACGAAGAGGAGAGAACGACGGCCGCGCGAGGAACATTCAAAGAAAATTGGAAAGAAGGAAATCTCCTCCATTGTCTCCGGCGACAATGAAGCCTTGCCGCTTCCCAGCCCCCCCCCCCTTCTCCTTTCTTCCGCCGCCATCACTTCCTTCTGCCGCCACCGTCGCGAATCTATCTATCTTCTATCTTTGTGGCCACTGCTGCTGTCACTGGTGGTCGCGAAGCCCTGGATAGAGAAAGAATGGTGGAGTTGCAAAATAGGAGAATCGAAATTTGGGGACGGAGTTGGAGAAAGGGAAAGACGTAGAAGGAAAGCGAAATAAATATTAAATGAATTTTATTTTTGTTATATTTTGTTAATTTACCTTTTTAACATGTGGTTACTACGCTCCCATGATGGAGATAGCATGGGTTGGCCTTTCTGGATTTATCATTGTATCACTTGGCAAATCACCAAGAAGTCTCTCAGATAACTACTTGGATATATAACCTACTCATCATATAGCTGGTGAAATTGACGCATCAACGTAGAGAAACTGAACTGTTTACCCTCAAAGACTACCCAATTACGCGATCGCCAGATCCTCCAAAGAACCGCCACAGCTGTAACATCTCAAACCTGGGATATTAATTCAAATCAATTTGGTTCGATAGATGGAATAATGTTTTCCCAAGCATAATCGAAGACTCAACGCCAAAACCAAAAGGGCTACGAGATACGATGAGAAAACGTACTAGATTACGTACTAAGAAAGCTTCTCATGCATGCACCCACCCACCTAAAATCAAACTACATTTCCTTCTATTTTATGTACATAGATAAGAGGAAGAAAAGAGGAACACGTCTCCTACTCA